GCGGGTGCGTGCCACCAGGCGACGGCCTGTGCCTTAGTACTTAAAGGGAATGTTCCACCCGCTTGCAGCCTACTCCGGAAGGAAGGAAGGAAGCGTCGCGAGTGTGGGCTGAAGCAAGGGAGAGTAGAAGAGGGTCGAACGTCTCACGTTTTGTCCTATATTATACGGGAAGTTGGGCAAGGGTACGAGTTATGGCGGAAATAAGACTGAGAACAGGACAGCTACAAATAGCGCCATAACCAAGTATATGAGCGCAAGTGAATTATATGAAATAATCCAAAATATGTAAGACACCGCGAGAAAGGGTCAAAGCACGCGCACACAGCGATTTTTGGTTCCCGCAAACAATGCACCGATTAGCGCCACACCTCTCGACAAATTGATGCGTTGCAAGTGAGCTATCCCGTCCGCTAGGGTGGTAAGTTCGCACGGCATGTTTGGTACCACTTGACGTCATGCAAACGTTCCATGACGCAAACAAATGATGACAGTGCAATGATATCGAGAATGAAATTGTGTTGTATTCAGCAGTCTTTTGGACTTAAAAAACATACCGATATACAAGTGAGCCTATTTCATGACATCATGTTGCCTGCCTCAATCTCTGCAAATGTAGACATTCCCTTAACTCACCAAAAGTTTAGCGGAAACTAATTGTGGCGACATGCACGCTGAAGCGACTCGGTTTTGCCCGATCCGACCGACCAGAGACACGCATTCTAACCACGCCTAGCATCGAGGTCAAGGCGAGACCCGCTGAGCACCCACCACAACTTGTGATGCCAACTCAGCCCCCGTACCGGGGTGGTCACATTCAGCGTGACCCCTCCCCCGGCAGACGGCGTGAACCTGGAGAGCAGCACCGTCCGCACAATGGCCGGCGCGCCGGCTACCCTGCCCTGTCCGGGCCTGGGCCAGACGCCGTTCGTCGTGTCGCTCAGCTGGCTGTGCGACCTCTGTGGCCCGGACGGCGCCGGCAACGGCCCGCGCACGCTGCTCGAGTACCGCGACGGCCGCGCGCACGCGCCAGACGCCGACGAGGCTCATCCGCCGCGGCTGCAGCTGGACGAGGCCTCGTTCGCGCTGCTCATCCGTCGCGCGCGCGCCACCGACACGGGGATGTACTTCTGCCTGGTGAACAGCCGCCAACAGCCCAAGGGTGCTGTGCGGCTGGAGGTCAGAGGTGAGAGGTCACGCGCCCCGGGCGCTCCGCCGCTGGCCTATGGCGTTTGCGTGGAGGCGGCTTGTAATGGCACCTGGACCGAACAGGAGGGCATCGTGTTTCTTCCGTGAGGAGAACGATGCGTCGACGCACTGCTAATGCTTCGCCGCGCGCATTTCGTATGCTAAAAAGCGAACGATGGAAGATGTGGTGTCAGACTTTCTTCCAGTGTATCGATAACGCCTGTCTTTGCGCGACTGCGTGAAACTTCTTGGGAGCAGAGTCAAATTCAAAAGAAATCAAGCTGGAAGGATCTAACAAAAACTGAAAGCTAGATGCAGTTATCAGGCCCTTGGTCGCTGTGTGTACGCTTCCACTGGTCTCCATTTATTAAGGCATGAATGTCAGACACGGATGTCAACAATCTTACTTGAAGGACAGTTCAATGACATTTGCCTAGCATTAATTGCAACTCTGAAGCCGTAACATGGCAGCTATTTCATACAAATTATGCATCAAATTTATTGGAATACGTGTGGTACCAACTTTCCTCCTGCGATGAGGAAAGCCCTGATGGTCGTTCGCGCGACTTTGTTATTTTTCAACGCAGCATGCAAGTTTTATGAGCAAAACAGAGGCTTAAACAAGATTGTACGCAAGAACAAGATTGTACGCGAACTCCAATGTGGCACGTTTTAGCGCAGATTTTTATCATCTGGTCCGTACCTGTTGGTTGATTCCAAATGTCTGATCAGTCACTGAAGCAAACTCAAAAGCAGAACGATACTCAACTATTGTTACGCGTTCATGCTCATGTTCAAGATACAGCCGGCTGGTATGGAAGAAAATGAGCAGCAGCAACAACCTGTTTGAGCCAAAATGTGTATATTTGCTGTTGACGTTCGGGATGAAACTAACATGCTTTGTTCTCTGGACATATCGTAGTAGAAAATATGAATACCCAGTTAGCTGCATCACGTCTGGCCTCTTATTGCTGCTCAAAATTATCATCGTCTCCATTCTCATAACCCTTAACACCTCCGTACTCAAAACTGTCACCATCTCCGTTCGCCTCTCTCCGGATGCAACGCCCTGAACATGACGTTATTTGCAGATGCGCCGGGGTCACCGGGCCGACCTCTGGTGCTCGCCTTCTCCTCGCGCACGGCCAACATCTCGTGGACGCACCCGCGGCGCACGAACTTCTCACCAGTGGCCCACTACGTGATCCACGTGAGGTACGAAACCCGGTCGTGACATCGGAGCCCGCCCGACACCGACCCGGTCGTGACACCGGAGCCGGCCCCGGCCGCCGCCCGCCACCCGATTGTATTTAGCCGCCAGCGGCGGTGGCTGAAATTAAAAATCGATGTCGGCGGCGCAAGGGAAGCTGGGTGGCAGGCGTGTCGCCCCCGCTGCCCGTCTCTGAGGAGGATTTCACGGCCGTTTGTCGTGACCGCCCGACGGAGCTGCATTTTGAGCGAGGGCGGTGGCGGCCGTGCCATGTGGTCTGAGTTGTGGGCCTGGTGGGGTTGTAGGTTGGCGGCGGACAGCCAGACGCAGTCTAGGGACCCTGACTCGTGGCGTAATCCGGTTGTAAACCGTCCTGTGATCTCACATCTCACATCGCGGCGTGATTTTCATGGGCTGGTCGTGGGTCCCCAACTCTGGATGAGGCCCAGTCGGTAATCAATGTCAGACGTCGGTCTCTATCGTGGTTCGGCCATGGACGGTCAACGTAGCCACCTCATGGTTAATCGCCCCACGTTTTCTGCTTCTGTCGCCGACGGCGCACAAAGCTCCTGAGTTATGAGCTTGCCGTTATTAAATGCACACACGTTCTGCTATTGATTTGATTCCCTCGTAGGTGAACCCCCACGCTGGCAGCAAGGGAGTGACTCGCACAAACAGAATTAGGTCGTTCCTCACGAAGATGGACCGCTCGCTAGCAGCGAATGCGTGGGCTTTTATTTCAATTAGCGGGTTTCCCGTCGACAGATTTATTTGCGCGATGTTAAAGCAAAATGCTCTGGCTCAGAATGCCACGTTTATTGTTTTAATATCACTTAGTTTCTGGAATCCTCATCGTGTTGCCAACTTCCATTTAATGAGAATTTCTTGTGAAGCGCATATTTTGGCTACAGCGTTTTTTGAGCAAAAACATTTTTTCATCTCACAGTGGTTATGAGACCGTTGAGATCACTTGAACACATCCATTTTTTCTTATCCTAACGAGATGGGTGACCCAAAAATGGCATTCTCTTGTCCCATTTTGCCGTTGTTCTGACACAAACGCCAAACAAAAGGATTATCCACATAAATGAAATTTCCCTTGTTATTGTCCGTGGCCTCACACACGCGAGCCTCAGGACAACAGGTCCGCCGCACCACATTTGTCTCCACCGCCCGAATTACCCCACGCCACCCCCACGCCGCTGCAGTGAATGCGGCGCGCGCCCGTCTGTCAGCGGCGAACGTGGCGCGCCGTCCGTCGTCGCCGGAATATTCATGTCGGCCATCACCCGCCGGCACTCATATCGCTGCCTTATTATATCCCTAACACTTTAATTATACGACCACTTGGCAGGGCGGCGCGAACGTTATGAAGCGGGCCTTTGGCGGCTTTTGCCGGCGCCGGCTGTGGCTTTGGTCGACGTCGGACGCGGCTCGTAGGCTCATCCTCGGCGTCACAGCGTTGCCCCAGGCGGTCGCCGGGGCCGGAAATGAAGCGCCGAGGACCGAGGCGCGGGCGCGTCACCGGTGCCTCACCCGCTCCAGCCCAGCACCGGGTCGGGCGCGTCGCCGGTGCCCCACCCGGTCTAACCCAGCCAAGGGTCGGGCGTGTCGCCGGTGCCTCACCCGGTCCAGCCCAGCCCCGGCGCGGGCGCGCCGCCGGTGCCTCACCCGCTCCATCCCAGCCCCGGGTCGGGCGCGTCGCCGGTGCCTCACCCGGTCTAGCCCAGCCCTGGCGCGGGCGCGTCGCCGGTGCCTCACCCGGTCTAGCCCAAGCCCGGCGCGGGCGCGCCGCCGGTGCCTCACCCGCTCCATCCCAGCCCCCGGGTCGGGCGCGTGCCCGGTTGCCTCACCCGGTCTAGCCCAGCCCTGGCGCGGGCGCGTCGCCGGTGCCTCACCCGGTCTAGCCCAGCCCCGGCGCGGGCGCGTCGCCGGTGCCTCACCGGTCCAGCCAGCACCGGTCGGCGCGAACCGCCGAGCCCCACCCGACCGCCGTCACAACGGCGCCCCATGCCTGACGTCCAGCGAGTTAGCGTGACCTGGGACGGCGGCGGTGTTGTTGGATTGGACGGGGGGTCGGGAGAGAGGATCGACCTGCGATCTGCCTGGCGCACGGGGACGGCCAGTGTTACGTATGCCTGCACAGCTTGAGCCCTAATCACACATTGTGGTATGGCAGGAAGACAAAGTTGTGCGCTACTGTTCTGCATGTGTGAACTGCGCCTGATATGATGCTGGGATTCATCTCTGCTTTGGTGCTATTTACATGATCAAAACACGAAAAAGCGCAGTCTGCCCAAACGTTATCGTGGTTCGAACCCCACCGACCATAGTGGTGGTTACCGTCCATGCCGTCATCTCAGTCCTGTGAAGGTTTTGACGTTTGACGTCATTTAAGTAGAGAGAACGATGTTCTTCTTCGTATTCGAAAGTTCAGTGAAGCCCTCAATGGCTAAAATGTGACTCGACACTGTGTTCTCACTGAGCCTTCTGGCGTGTGGGACGGAAGAACCTACCAATATGAGAAGATTGTCTGCATACTCTTTCGGAGTATTATGATAAAGCGGAAGTTCAAAGTTGCGTGTATATCTTCTATTGTGCTAATATGAACGCTTTATACGGCCTGCGGTGCGACCACTAGGGGTACTAGTTTTGTTTTGCTTGCCTTCGCCATGTCGTTGCGTATCTGTTGTGTAATTTGACTATGAGCATGCAGCCTTTAAAACAGGCGCAGTGTGTGCTGTCCAAACGGTTTTTCCTGGGTAACTAACCGATTTGCAAGTGCGTACGGGCCATCAGCATAATGCAAACAAAACCGAGAATGAGTCAGAGATCGTCATTACAGCCATCGTACCCATCAGGCTGTTGTAGGCCGCCCGAATAACTCGGCGGCGAGACCGCAGGGCCGGCTCGATCACGCAACAACATAGTGAATCGGTTGCCCACAACCCGAGCGTCACTCGTCATGTGCCCCCCCCCCCCCCCCCTTCCCCTGCCCGCCCTCTACACCCGCATCCAATCCCGTCCAGGCTGCTTCACCCGCAGCAGCGGCCGGCAAAGACAGATTGAACCCGAGCGAGCATTCTTCGGCCGAGTTGGTCTCTGTGTCCCGCGCCCGTCGGCTGATTACCGTACTGATGAGCGCTGTTTGCATGGTCGTGGCAGGGAGACGGAGCGAGGACCTTGGGACCGCTCGCTGCGCACCGTCGGTAAACGGCACCCGCTACCAGGTGACCGAGCTGCGGCCTTACACCGGTCTACAGCTTCCGGGTGACGGCCGTGAACGCGGTGGGCGCCGGCCCGCCCGGCCAGCCGTCTTTCCCCGTGCAGACGCTGAGAGAAGGTCAGTAGCCTGCAGCGGCCGTCGCAGGGGCGTGGGCAGGAGGTGTGGCTCTGGGATTGCTCGTTCGATGTGTGAGTGGCGTCAGAGCACGCCCTGGCGTCCGCTCTGGTACCGCGCATGTGAGTGGCCCCCGGAGACACCTGGTGAGCAGTTGTGACAGTCGGCACAGTCGGCATGCTCGCGTTTTATGCGGTGAATATATAACTGGTCGTATTTTATATGGTGAACTTCATGCGTGTCTGGGTCTAGTTTCATCTAGTGGAACTACGAATTTGCGCACTTTAAATTGCGTCTTAGAAGTATAAGAGCTTAAGAATGTGCTTAGTTTTACAATTCTTCAAGAGAACGTTCCACATTTGTATGAGGTTTTGAAATGAAATAACTATGTCGATTATTATTCGGTGCAGTTCACAGCCCTGTCTTTCTTACAACCTAAAAATATCTAGTTTCTGAGCTACATGCCCACCAAGATGTGCGGACTTTTTGCGCAGCTTTTCACCCGATATCTATGACGCCATAATAACGTCATTCAATTTCTGTCATTCACTATCCATGCGGCGTTCAAGGTCAAGCAAATATAACCTCCGAGTCGTTCATATCTGGCGTTCGTGAGCACGATTTCCAGCTATAACGGTCCGTCAATTGGCGGACACCATCGTTGGACGTCCTGCGTGAAACGGAGCGCCCAGGGCCCTGGGGCGTGCCACTCCCAGTCGCACATTACTCACGGTGGTGGTTACGGTCGGCCAACTGCGCCGCCCAGCGCGCTTCAAACGAGCGGGCGATACTTGCTCGATACTGCGGCCCCGCACGTCGGGGCCGGAGTGTAATTTACGTTAACTGCGAGCACGCCAATGCCGTGCAAGGTACACAACCCACCGTTAAGTAAGGACAAATTTGCGTCGAACAGGCACACTCAGGCGATGTGCATTTGCTGTTGCTTTAGGACGCTGGCTCGGGGTTTCTATCTCTGAGTGTTGTCTCGAGGTTTCTATCTCCAGGTGCGACTCGGGGTCTCTATCCCTGGGTGTGGCTCGGGGTTTCTATCTCCGGGTCTGCGTTTATGATGGCATGCCTTTATCTATATTTGCCACGTCATGGCTCGTTTTGAGAAGCTCCGTGAACAAAAAGGAGCTCTGGCGAATCCCGAGCTGAAATATAATAACAGAGCATGCCGTATGTCTTGAAAGCGGTTGTTGATGTTTAATGAGCAAGCGTGAATTCGGAAAGAATGATATGACCCCATGGTGAGAAAAAAGTTAAGCGTAAGGGAAGCTGTTGTAGTGCAAAGAGAATGTGTAACACGTGGTGTGAAGGGCTTGTTTAACAATGCACTGAAGTCCACATGCTTTGTGTATATGTATATGCTCAGGATCCGTGACTTCACAATGCGGGCTTTGGTACATTGCCATCTTCCTTTCTATTTGTGTATTCGTGGCTAACCTGCTAAGCTTGCAATTTCTTGCGAAAATGCATATTGTGTGAAATATTTGCAAAATATTTCGGTATGCACTGTGCTTGTGGGTTAACGCGTGAACATGAGCATATTAAAACATGTGGCGTGGACGATCTGATTTTACTTGTAAAAATTGTAGTGTCGCACAATGCCTTCGATGTATACTTTTAAACGTAGACGTAAAAATAGACGTAGAAAATGGCATACGGTTGGCCCATGTACAGTGAACTCATGACCTTACCTTCCATCGTCAAGAAATAAATTCGTCATGTCGCGGGGTGTCAAAGGAAGATGCACACATGGAAATCCACACCCACCCACACCCACACACACATCCTAATCAAGTGTCTGAGGTCTCACTCAGTAGGCACCGTTTCAATGTTAACTGAAAGACGACACAGGAAGTCGATGAAGTCAGCGCCTGCTTTGTGTACTGGGCACTCGCCTGCCAGCAAAACTTTTGGTATTTATATTTTGACAAGGATTTCCTAGTGTATTCAAGACTGGCGTATGTCCGGGTCTTCACTTGGTTGTGCAGTCAAAAACATGGTAATTTCCGGAGAAGATGCCAACACATGTAGGGAGATGATCTCCATTAATGAGGCGCATATACGCAGCATCAGAGGTGGTAGTTCTCTCCTGATTCTCTCGATGGTAGTTCTCTCGTGCTTACCCGGCGCCTGTTATATGCTTACACGCATGGCCCACCCTCCGTTTATATATGAGTCATTACTGAGCATGCCATCACGAAGGGCGTTTCAATGGTCATGCAGTTCTCATATATTGTTGGTCATGCGTCAATTAATTTGCATAATGTAAACAGTGAGATGGGTGTGCAATATAGGTTTTAATAACTTAGCATGCACCGTCGCTGAGTCCGCAGTTTATGTCCTTAAACAACGACGGAAAGCGGGCATGGCGGACAATTTCCGACGCCGCGAACTTGTTGCAGTAAATACGAGGGACGTTATGAAGGATGTCTCAATGGTGGTTACGTTAATCGATTGCAAATGGAGCAATTTACTCCGCGTGAGCCTTGCTGTGAAGCAGCAGGCAATTACGTCTTCATCTTTTCTCCTTGATCTTTTCTCCTGGCTTAGTTAAAGTCCCCTATTGTTCCTCGCAGAATTGATCAACTATTTCCTGATCTTTATTTCTTTGTCATTATTTTGCCGGTTTTCTCATGTCCAACGTGAGTTTTTGTCCGCAAAATCTTATCAGTGCCTAGGTAACGTCACTGGAAATGCACTGGTGGCTTCAGCAACACGGAGGAGCGCCGTGGTGTGCGTTCACTAACAGGCGCCCCCCCCCCCCATTTTTGTGCTAAATGGGATATTTATGTTGATTAAAGTTGTTTTTAAAGGCACCCAGAATGGTTTGCTGACTGACCAATGTTGTGGTCGATTTACAAAATGTTCTCACACCGGCAGATGGCAGACGGGCGAGATGATTCCAGATATTCCCATTCGCGACTGCGGTGCCCGCGGCCCGTCAGAGGGTTCTCCTGCTGGCTAAGATGTCTGCTGATGACAGCAGACGTATGTGCGTTGATGAGGGCATGTGTCGTCGGCCCGCGCCGTCCGCTGGGTATCCACGAGACACCGGCAAAGCTCTGCTGACTCCTAGGTCACAACTCATCACGCGCTAGTGATCCCTGGTCGCCCTCCCCCTCTCCTTTCCTTCTCCCGCTGTAATCTTGGCGACTGGCGGGAAGAGCGGAAATGATTCTAGTTTATATTCCCTTTATTACAAATGGGATGAGGTTTGCACGATATTATCCGTTTGGCCTCAAAATACATGACCCCTAGGCGGTAAGACCTGCTGGACTGATGTTTTGTCACCATTTCGGATCTGTGAACCCTCGTATTTGACACGGGTTATCAAGCACCGGCCGTACGTGACTTTTCCAAGCACGATTCCTTGTTTTTTAGTGTTGCGCCTGGCACGTGCGCTTCAGAGATAATGCCCACAGATGATTGGTGTTGCTGAGGTGAGCAGCATTTTGCAAATTTTCATTGCAAGCATTCTTTGCAAATAGACATGTATCAAAGTCCAAAAAAGATCTCGGGCTTAGATCTCTGAGCCGTGGATCCGGAATCTTTTAGGATTTTGGATCTTTTTTGAAGAAATTATTTTCGAAGAATCATTTGAGATGCTAGATTTTTTAAGTTGGTAAAGGATTATCTGGGATCCGAGATATTTTTGAAATTTTACCGAAGAATCTTCTGAGACCCTGGATCTTTGATAAGCTGGCTGAAGGATCTTATGGGACCTTACCTTTTAATGGTTTTCCCGGATGATCTCCCGAGATTTGAGAGTTAACTTTAGGTTTTGTCAAAAAATCTTCTAGGACCCGATTGCGCAGCCCTGTGAAATGTTTTAGATAGGTGTAATAGTCAGATTAACTTGGCTGGGTTGTTTTTTCTTCATTTGATCCCAAAATTGAAGCATTGCTAGTTAAAATGATGACGAATATCAATCTTTCCCTCTAATAAACATCCATAGCCTTATTGGCAATTAAGTCTTATCTCATGAATACTTGGTGTTTCATGAGTTCTTATCTGTGCAACATTAACGCTCAGCATAGTGTGATAGAACTAGCTGTATGACATGCATCCTTTGTTAGTGATCCATTAACCCTCTTCCTGATAGAGGGAGGGATGGTCAAGATACGCCCTCCCTTTGCTCCTCTTTAAACTTTTTCGAGTATGCCCCCCAGGCATGTCTAGTAATCGCAATCAAAATTTCAATAGCCTGTGGAGGGAATCCATTACGCGTGTTGTGACACATGAAACGCGTCCCTAGCGTTTCTACTTTCGGAGAAGCGACGGTTTTTGCGGAACCCTGCACGGCGACCTACGACCGGCGCGGGCGGCGGCTGGTAACCATCGATGTCGCGGACCGCGCGCGGGGGGCTCGACTTTATTATTAAAACATATACTATCGGGCCACATATCATGCATGCATGCCCAGATGCATGGAACTAAATGTCCCTGTACTTACTTAGAAGTAAACAATGATCCCGCCTGTGTGAGTTTCGCTCCTTCTCGAGGCATAATCTGTACATATGAGCGCGTAAAGCTGAAAAAGTGTGATTTACAGGAAAATTTGGCATTTGACCTGGAATGTTGGGGCCATTTAGTGACCCAGCAACACGCAACTTGGTACCAATCGTGAGACCACGTTAAGACTAATCGATTGCCGTTTTCCGCTGGACTATATCTATATTAGCTTGCAAACGTCAGGCAGGTCGCATCGACCATCCCCACCCACCTATCCCCCCCCCGCCCCCGTCAGGCCACGTTATAAAAAAGGGCGAATCAGGGCGCGAGTTTATGCGCAGCAAAGCAAGCTGGATGCTGCCTCTCCGTCCCGTTCCTTTCTTGACCTTACTGCTCTAAGACAGGTATAATAACAGTGGCAAATTTTCCCTAATCCTCATAGGAGAAGTCATGAAAAGGGTGTTGGGAGGAACACCATTGCCAAAACCGATTATGTCACTTTTACCTTTAAGGCTCATACATTTGGAACGGAAAGTTCAAGA